TGAAAACAGTGCTTCGACAGTATGCATTCCCTGAGGGGTTTATTACTTTAATATCAGCACTCTATGGTAACCCAGCAGCAAAAATCTCCAGTGGGGGTTTCACATCCAAAACATTGCGTATCTCAAATGGATCTAGACAGGGCTGCCCACTATCCCCCCTACTTTACATATTAGCGTTAGAACCATTGGCCCAACACATCAGAAACTCACATCATGTCCATGGGATACATATAGGCGATAGAACGCATAAAATTACTCTCTTCGCTGACAATGTCATGCTCACCCTCTCCAAGCCGGAGACATCTCTCCCAACGCTCCAACATATATTAGCAGAATTTAGCAACTGCTTGTACTACAAACTTAATGCCGCTAAGACACAAGTCATGGGTTTAAACATAAATAAAGCGCAACTTAAGCACCTACAAACCAAATACGCATATGACTGGAAACAAAATCACCTAACCTTTCTGGGCATAGACATTACACCCCAGATACACCAATTATATAAAGCAAATTACATAAAATTACTTAGTTCAATCCAACAACAATTGCAAAGTTGGAAAAAGAAGTATGTCTCATGGATGGGAAGAATAGCGGCTGTTAAAATGTTGGTACTACCAAGATTACAATATCTCTTCCGAACACTCCAGATAAAATTGCCAAAACAATTTCTCAAGGAGTCTCAAAGCTGTATAACCCACTTTGTCTGGGGGGAAGCGTCCTAAAGTAGCGGCCGAAGTCATGTATAAATCTTTCAAGGAGGGTGGGATGGGGATGCCAAATATAGCACGATACTACAAAGCAGCTATGATAAGCACACTAATAGACACGTTTCACTATACCAACCCACCATCATGGAGTCAAATAGAAACTGCTCAGGCAGCGGGGCTTACAATACCTACGCTGGCTTGGCTGCCTAACGCGCATAGACCCAAAACGCAATAACATTAGCCCGACAACGGCAGCGACACTCCAAACCTGGGATGAGCTCATTGGGAGAGGCTGCTTAGATTCGTATATATCCCCTGCTCTGCCACTCCAAGCATACAAAGTTCTTGAAATCAGTAGAAAAAAGTGTTATTTAGGGCGTATCTGGTACCCGCTAAACTTCATAAAATCGATACGAATAGACCTCAGTCATGTTGGAGATGTCAGTCTGAGTTGGGGACAATGATCCACATGTGGTGGTCTTGCCCAAAACTTAAGACCTTTTGGGAAGATGTCTCAACCACGATTAAAACAATCACAGGCAAAATATTGCCACACTCACCAGAAACGTATCTGCTGCTGGTGATACCACAAGATTTCCAAAAAGCAGATCTATATCTAACATATCATATCATCATTGCTGCTCTTGTAGCAATAGGGAGGTCATGGTTAAAAGTATACCCACCGGACATCCAACAATGCCTGAGGGAAATAGACACCACTAAAAAATACGAAGTTGAAACAAGAAGGATGAGATCCAGAAATAAAATATGGTACACAGCATGGGAAAAATGGGAAGTATGGCGGCAGAATAAATGTATATCCACATAACTGGTACACTGTCCACTTAGGTTGAATATAAGTTTCGTGAAGCAACAGACCGATTTTCCCCCCCACTCTCCCTCACTAGTTATTTCCTAGTTATTTCCCCTTCTGTATTATTAAAGAGAGAAGGGACATAAGCTGCAAGTCGGTTTCCTCAAGCTGACACTGAATTAGATTCTCTCAACAAATAAAAACCGAGACACTTTATTGAAATATATGAAGATGTAACATCAATGTTGTGCTTAACTGTACATGTTTCGCCCCTTGCATGGGGATGTACTATACAAATGATGTATGTTCCCTTACCTTCTTCCTTTTGTATCCCTTCATGCTGACTGAAAATAAAAAAAATTCTGAGAAAAAATAAATAAATAAATAATAGAGTTACATGAATTACAGTTGTGGCACGGAAAAGTGCCATAAACCAGGGTTGTGAGAAATCTCTGTTTTTTCTGTTGCATGGGTCCAATGTCCGCTTGAACAAGTGTGTTTCTAATATTCTGGGGTCTTCTATATGAAAATAATGGGGTAGATTGAAATTGCAAAATATTAGGAAAGGCTCTCCTAAGGATTCCACAGTGGGTGCAAATGAGATTAGCCGCTCTCTTACCATTTAAGTTGTAAGTAGATACAAAAGGTATTCAAATTAGATTATTGGATGCTTTCTGCTTGGGTCTAAGAAGGGAGTCCCACTCCATTTTCAAAAATTTTTCTTTCTCCGAATCAAGAAGTGTGACTGGATACCCACGACTTAGAAACCTTTTGCTCATCTCAGTGATGAATTAATGGGTCTGATACGTTTCTTGCTACTCTAATGAATTGACTACATGGGAGGGCACGACTAGTCTGTGGTGGGTGAAATCTAGTAAATTCCAATAGGCTATTCCTATCAGTAAGTTTGATATAAAGATCAGTAAGAAAACCATCAACCTGGCGGGTGATGTTAAGATCCTAGAAATGAATGGTAACCTCACTACAGTCCATAGTGAACTGAATATCGTCACAAATTGCATTCATATCTTGATGAAATAAATCCAATTCTTCCCTGGTGCCACACCAAATGCCAAACATACCATCGATTAATCTCCACCAGACACCAGACATGCGTCATGAATAAATCATGTGCATATACATGTCTGGTTTCGAAACCATCCATGAATAGGTTGGTATATGATGGGGCCATATTCGAACCCATAGTGGTGCCCCTGAGTTGTCTGTAGTAATTATCTCCAAATAGAAAATAGTTTCTATGCAACAACAAGTTCAAAATTGACATAAAAAATTCAACCTGTGGGTTAGAATATTGGCTAGTACTAAGTGCTTTCCATCCATATTTACAGTTACATCTGCAGTAAACCATCTGTCTTTGGAACATACAAAAGCAAAGTCAAATGCCTAATCAAATCGGAGTTGATATTTTCATTTTTAGCAATTACTTTTCTGACATAATTACCAGCGCATAAATATCCAAGATTAAATCAATGTACATATATTTTTTATGATTAATCTCATCCTAACTATTTTGTCTCCCTGACTTAATCAGGGATCTAGAAGTGGGGGCGGGGGGAGGGGGGAATGAAAAAGACAAACTCCAAACAATTCTACATTAATTTCTTAATAGCTGTTCTCCTGTTTAGACCAAGCCAGTGCTTCAATGTACTCAAATATTGGTGGGTCCGATAATAAACTTAACATGGTAGATAAACATGCTAACTGCAACTTTTGCTGGTTAAACTGCTGCAGTTAGGAAAGAGTCTGTTTTAATGGGCTTAGATTTTATTTTATTCTATTCACACCAAGACAATATTTTTTAGGGATAGCAAGGGTTCAGCCTTTTCCCCTTAAATACCACATAAACAGCACCTAAGCACTCCAGATATTGTGAATTACATGTCTCCATAATATTTCTACAGCCATAATGCTGGCAGAGCATCAGGGGAGATGCAGTCGACAGCATCTGTAGTACCAAAGGTTGCCCATGCATTCCCTAGATGTACCCCTTCTAGTGACCATAGGGTCTGACAAGATGCTATTTATATTTATTTGAAATACAGGTATCAGAGTAGCTTTCGTTATTCTTTACTTTTTATGCTAATATTTTGCAATACACATTTTCAATACTAATGGTTTTGGAGAAAGGCTTTAAGAGGCGAAACATACACTGGTTTATTCACTAAAATGGGCTTTTAGAGTCAATTTAGAGTTAGTTAAAAATTTCAGACCAAAGTATTTAAACTTGAAGCATAGATGTTCTGTACCCCAGGCTCTCTGAATTCCCATTGACTGCTCTGCTATTAGGAAAGCATTAACTTGGCAGCCAATGATAGGCAGAGACTGCCATAACTATTATATAACAATAGAACACAAGACCTTAGAACTTACCCTCTAACTTTTTAAAGGGCACCGTTGCCACATTCCACCTAACCAATTCAATGTAATACTTCTCAATTAAAAAACATTGGATGTATATATTGAAGGTCTTAAGGAGGCAGTGTTTCACGTGGCTTCGAGTGTGACAGGGAGTTCTTGGCCAAAAAATGTCAATGTTTACGTAGTCTGAGTAAGGGTTAGCATCTATGCACCAAAACCATTACATTAAAAAGTAGTGTTAATTTAAAGAATAAGAAAAAAGAAGAAAAGAGCCTTAAATAACCAGAACCTCCATGGGGAGTAACCCCTAATTGATAAACCAAAAAAGAAAAAAAGAAGAAGAGAGGTTGGAGATTCCAGTGTAATTTCGTTTTACCACCAGGAGGAACACTAAGATATTTTATTAAAACTTTTCAATTTTAAAACGTCACTTTTAATGTTTTAATTTAAAAGTCCCTTAATTATAGGGGCACTAAATGCACACTATCACCCCAAACGAGTGCACTCAATACACATCTAATAATAATAAAAAACAAAAATGATAATAAATAAATAAGTAACAAAATATAAATAAATAACAAAATAATTTCACTAAAACAAAATAGTGTAGTGAAATACCCACTGCAGACTTTATTGGCCCTTAAAGTGAGGTCCTATCATCTGATAGGTAGGTATACATAAAAGACCTTGCTTATTATTAAACAAATTGGTGTGAGGATAGATGAGTTTATTCCCAATATCTATTGGTCAATAGCAGTTCTTGAAAACAATAATAATGAAGGTAATGTCCCCTGTATCTCTAGGTTTTTTGATAGATAAAATATCGCTGGGTATTCATTCACCCGTTGGTAAGTTTGTAACTCTTCTGCCTGCTGGAATTGACAGGGAGTTCTTGGCCAAAAAATTTAAATGTTTACGTAGTCTGAGTAAGGGTTAGCATCTATGCACCAAAACCATTACATTAAAAAGTAGTGGTTATGATACTAAGAATTCCCCTTTAATGTTTACCCATATGTACATTTTAACATTAATGTTTTATGTAATGGCTTTAAAAAAAAAACGAAAAAAAAACTTGTTTCTTTCAAGAGTTATGTTACCTGTGTCATCTTCATCTGTCAAATCGATGGCTTCCACTTCATTAGGAGGATCTGCATGCTTCAAGGTTAAACATTTATTAGATGTAGCAGACCTGATGGACACTTGATGGGTTGATGTCTTTTCCATTTTTACTGAAAGAAAACAAGCTTTATAAGAAAAATATTTACATGTAATGGTAAACACATTTTATTAATAATAATAATAATTTTTATTTTTTTTTAACAGCAGCAACATAATATAGTACATAGATCAGTGATGATGTACCTTTACAAGACTATTACCAAGACAAGTCTTTAAAAGGACAGATTTGTATTCCTTACACTACAGGATCCCTGCTTTGATCACTGCTCCTATACTGCAAAAGTAAAACTGACAGACAAGTGCATAGACATTAGAATAAGAGCACTGGCCATTGGAGAACGATATATGACAGACTGTTCAGTTCCAACCTTAGACTAGGATATGACATTACTATTTATATATACTAATAGCTTGCTAAAGTTTTTGTCTAACTGCAACTACAGGATGCTCATGTCACATTCAGGGATTATCATTCAGTGATATATATTTATTAATATACATGCAGACTTCCTGAGAAAATGCAGAACCTTAACGAAATATGGTGCAAACAAGATAGTATAAATATTGTATAATTCTGTGGTTATTTAAAACTCTCATGCAATTTCCCCAAATTCCCAAGTTAATAATAATCCCTGAATGTGACATAAGCATCCTGCAGTTAGGGCAAAAAGCTTTAGCAAGCTATTATTATATATAAATAGTAATGTCATATTGTAGCAGGGTAAGCATGCAGAAGCCAAACACAGAGATATGGACACAGGTATTCAGGAAGTAAGAGGCCTTTATTCACATTACCGATCGGGTTTCAGATGAACTCCTGTTCCAAAATTCTGAGAGAGCAACACATGGTGTACATTCCTTATATAGCACTATAACTCCTCCCATTAATAGCTACACCCACATATACCTTTCAACAATCAATGAGCAGAATATAGACTTGTACATCTAGTCAAACCACATGGCTCATCCAAGATAAAGAAAATAAGTGCAATTTCAGTTCCTGCATTCCTGCACATGCTCAGTACACTGATGACAGTATCCTAGATACGTGTAGCTAACTAACTGACACAACATACACATATGCCACCTGGAAATCTTGGCCTACTAAATTTTGACCATGCTGGAATCCCACCACATTTCCCCCTTTGATGCCTCTGATATAACATTATTCCAGATGCATCACTAATCATAATCTGCCAACACCACTCAAGTAACCATTGAACCAGTACAGATCTTGTAATCATTCTAACTTAACTTTGTGCTCTCTCAACATTCCTCATCCCGATTATTCTCTCTATGGGCTAGGGGTTCATACTTCCAGACAGCCATTACATGGGCAGCTGTCTTTCTTTCTATAGTGCTCTCTATAATACTACGTAGGGACCTTACCACTAATGGAATTAGACAGGGCAGAAAAAGACATAAGAATATGATAAACACTCCTCCTCCTACTAATGTCTTAATTCCTCCAAGTTGCTCCAAACCAACTATTAGGATTATACCCATTCCAGACCTGAGTCGGAACATGCGCAAGTTTAACCATATGACTAGTAAGTTCAGCCACTGCCTGACCTTCATCATCTATGTGCAGACAACAGTTGCTAAGGCTAAACTTTCCGCATACACCTCCTTCCACTGCTAATAGATAATCTAAAGCTAATCTATTTTGATAGATGGCTGATCTCATCCTGGTATTTTGCTTAGCTAGAAGATTAAGCGCTTGAGCTGTCTCATTAGTAATAATCTCAACCACCGCCTGTAGTCTAATAATGCGGTTGAGCATATATATCGGAGTTCTATATCCATAAGTGCCATCTTCTGCCCAAGTAGCCGGTCCATAATAATTAATAATACGTTGAGGGGGCGACTCATCATCTTCCCAACTACCTATATTCAAGGATGCTCTCTTCCTTTTATGAGTTACATCGTAAACCTTAACTCCCAAGGTCTCTCCTGTCTCAATTGGCAACAAGAAGAAGATGGCTTGAGCATACCTAATACACATGCCCCTTCCCAATCTTGTGGTAACTCTGAATAAGCTTTCCTACCACAGATCCAGTATAAATTTGCTGGGGCTTTCCTACTAGATGTAGCAGATAAGTCAAACCATACCTGCTTTAAATGAGTGTAATTGGCAAACGGATTAGTAGGCTCCGAGACATTTGAAGCTGTCCACCAAGTAGTATTTTTAGTATTAACATTATAGGCTTTTTGTCCCAAGCAAGTTAGCTCACCTACAGGCGTGTTATACATTGTCCCTTTCCTGGCTATACAAACATGACCTATAATGGAGGTTTTAAACCGCCATTCTGATTTACTTCTAGTACTTACTTGATGATCAGACTGGAAAGGTATCTGTTGTTCATATGTCTCAGAGCCAGGGTACCATATTTCCTTTGCCTCCCATGGCCACTGGCCTCCCATATTAGTACCTCCACACACATAGCAATTAGTTACATTAAGACTACCCGCAATACTCTCAGCCAAATCAATAAATAGGTTCTTAACATTATGGGGAATTTTATCCTCAACACTCATCTCCTCATAAAAGGAATGGAAAACCTGATGAGTTTGAGTTGCCACTGTCTCAGTTTCAAGACCTACATATATTATTGTTCCTGGATCTACTCCTGTGCCATATATTTGGAACCCAAAAATATTTCCAAATTTGTCAATAAAATGCTGGGGATTAGAGATGGTCATATTGACAGGATTACATTCCATAGATTTACAGTATGGTGTGGTAGGCAACCTTTGGATAATCATATCTTGATCCACTGTTTTTTCCCAGGTTGCCCACCCTACACAAGACCAATAGGGACAAAAATTATAATCTCTATTTGGGCAATCAGGATCAGTAGATCTTCTACTGGAATATAAGTATTTATCACTAAACCCATAAGTTTGTTCCCATTTAAGATTACCATATACATTCCAAGGTTTTCTACTACCTGAAATCGCCTTACATGCATCAAATAGCAGAACATCCATAGAATGTATGGTATTTATCACAGTCCTATTTATCAAAGTTCCCTGGGAATTACTATTCCTAATTACCAACCAAATTGTACAGGGTTGGAATTGGGGGATCGAAACATTTAGACTCTCCTGATATTGGCTTGCACACACTATAATCAATATCCAAATATCTACATTTAGATACAGATCCCTTACATTCATACTGTGAGTGCCAGATGAGAGTTTGGGATATTTGGTTACCTGTTTTAGTAGTTTTAATTTTATTACAAATATACACACAGTTTCAACAGTCACACCAATCTCCTTATCACCAGTACCACATCGCACAGTTACTAGGCCCAAACACACACGCGCACACACACACAGGATCCTCACATGCTCAACAATATCACGACGTCGCACACACACAAGTAAAATCATGACTCACCAAACACTATATATACTTATCACTGTAACTATTAATCAAACCATACAACTATCCACGCTATTAATCCATATAAACTAACCGATCACATAACATTTCAACAATTTCGTCTCTACAATTATCCGTACTATAAATCAACTTTTGACTAACCAACTATATCACATTCTTGTAACCTCATCTTTACAGTTAGTGGTTATGGTACAGTTAGTAAGTGGTTATAATACAGTTTTAAAGTCACAGATCAGTTAGTAACAGTTATGGTATTATATATATATATCTATATATCATAAAACAGCAATTGTTAGTAATTTTTACACAATGTCAGTGGTTATGGTACATGTCAGTAGTTATGGTACTGTGCGCTATTTTACAGTTATACACACAATTTACACTCCCACTAGACGGCAGTGCTCTAACTTTCTAGAAGAACATACAAGTTAACCAATTCACCAACTACAATATATTTAACAACATTTACAATAATCCCAACTATTCTAACTGGCCAGCACCTTGAGAGCTTTCGATCTATTTGTACACCAGAGATTCGATAAGTTCTTCGCTGCCCAGACACCACGTATAGCGAACTAGAGGGCAGAATTTACACCAATACCCTTTTAGTCTATTACACTATCAATAATCTAGTGGCTGGATTTACAACAGAGCACACTTAGTTAAAATAGGGTGAAATCTAGCAAACTATAATATACAACCGAGTCTGCTTAGTTTCGCCAATCTCCCCTTGATAGCAACCAAAATTTACACCTAGCATGCTAGTCAAGCCAGGACATTGGTGTCCGACATGAGCTATTTACACCAGAACTCAGTCTGACAATACCACCTATATTAGACGGGCTGACTACAGAGCGTCTAATTTCCAGATAATCGTTGCGCCTTCGCTTCTTCCTTCCAATTTGAAGGAGCCAATTCCAATAACCAGTTCCAAATATAAAACCCCTTGTGGGTCTATTGCTCCAACGGTATCAGTCTTACCTGTTAGTTCCTGGACCTGGGTTCACACTCATCGACGGAACACCACGGTACTCACTGCGCAGAAGCCGATGATCTCCTGGACAAAAGGCCAGTGGCGCCGAGATAAAGGGATGTCCACGCAGTAGAAGTCCAGGGGTGCAGCGTAGAGGATTTGATAAAAGTTTACCGTCTCAAATCTCTGCGCCAGCTTCCATGCGATGAGGTTCCCGGCCAACGCACCAGAAATGTAGCAGTGTAAGCATGCAGAAGCCAAACACAGAAATATGGACACAGGTATTCAGGAAGTAAGAGGCCTTTATTCACATTACCGATCGGGTCTCAGATGAACTCCTGTTCCAAAATTATGAAAGAGAGCAACACATGGTGTACATTCCTTATATAGCACTATAATTCCGCCCATTAATAGCTACACCCACATATACCTTTAACCAATCAATGAGCAAAATATAGACTTGTACATCTAGTCAAACCACATGGCACATCCAAGACAAAGGAAATAAGTGCAATTTCAGTTCCTGCATTCCTGCACATGCTCAGTACACTGATGACAGTATCCTAGCTAGGTGTAGCTAACTAACTGACACAACATACAAATATGCCACAAGGAAATCTGTGCCTACTAAATTTTGACCATGCTGGAATCCCATCACAATATAATCCTAGTCTAACATTAGAACACAACAGTCTGCCATAGGAGGCATTTAAACGCCAGTACCACCTGTAGTTTTCAAGGTAACCCAACATACTTGTGATTGAGGAGAAGAATATATTTAAAATACTACGATGCCTTTAGTAGTATGACATTTGTGTATCGCAGGCTACCCAACAATCTCAATTATGCACTGTCCCTATTTCAGGGCCGTATCCGGTGTCTGTTCCCTAGTCTTAGGCTATTGGGGACATCAAGAAATTGTCCTGGGAAAGTGTATCACAAGAAAATCATTTCATACGCTCACAGTATGCTCAGGACACTAGGGACCTGCAGAGAGCACTGAAGCAGCACTCTCTGCATGGCCCACTCTTAGTGAGCTGGCCTGCGTGATCGCCTTCAGCCTGGTGTGTATTCACACCAATCTGCATATTATTTGGGCAGACACACCACCTCTAGGTGGTGCCACACCTCTGGATGGTGCCATAGATGCAATTTGCATAATTTGTCCTCCTCTTTTACCCCACCCTCTGTCCCACTTCACTGTCTTGCAACTGCCATGCCTGCCTATCAACCTCAAGTAGCAGTGGAACCTCCATTACAAGTTGTACACACAGTTATTTGACAGTCTTGTCACTGTCATATACACTGTCACTGTCATATAGGCTGTTAAAATAGTTATATGGCATGCCAGGATCACTCTCAATAAGGCAGTCCAACAGTAGTCCTTAATTAGCGCCAAGTTGATTTATCATCCTGGGAAACAATCACAGGAATATCTTAACTGCCATTCTCATTACTGTGATTGGCTCCAAATAATCGTTTAGTGGCTCATGCATTGTTGGGGCCAATTTTCTAAACAGTGAGCTCTTAATGTTGGTTAGGGGTATGGCTATATGTTTTTTTTTGTGATTAGGGTTACATTTGTGTATCTGCAATTTGGCCTTGTAACTTGTCAAAAATTATATAATGGTCTACATGGACCATTTTTGTAGAAGGTGGCAGTAGCCGAATAAAACTCTGTGGTCTAACAATAGTGGTACCCAGGGCTTTATATATGTGTAGATTAAGCTGACTCTGGTGGGACATACAAACATATTTCTAACACTATAGTTTCGCACTACTTATTTAGGTGTCTGGCCTCCTAAGTAAGGAGTAAAAAGGTAGTCTGCTTACCTTTTCTTCATCATTGTGCTGATCTCAACACAGTTGGCACTGTCATAGCTGAGATCATCAATCTTGATGATAGCCAATCCAATACGTTCCCATAGGAAGCGCTACGGCTATAGCTTAAAGGAACATGGTGTCCAGCCCCCTCTCCACCTTACCTCCCTTTGAAAGGATATTTTACTTACTTTTCTTCAGCGCCACACCAAATTTGATGATCTCAGCCAACCCAATGCTATCCCATAGGAAAGCATTTGGAAGCTATTGCACATGCACAAAAATACACTGCGCTGCACCAATCAGCACCTGCGCATAGAGGTGCATTGAATCAATGCATCTCTATAGGGAGCATTCAGCGTCTCCATTCAGAGCGTGTTGACACGGAAGAGAAGTGCTGCACTGAACTAGAAAACAGCTCTAGTGGCCATCTTAGTGACTGCCAGTTGAGGAGTTACCTGGCAGCAACATAAATACTGCCATTTATCTTAAAAGGTGCAATGTTAAGACTGAAGGGACATGCTGTAGACACCAGGGGAGGAACTACCGCTAGTGCAGCTCGGGCAACTGCACTAGGGCCTGCATTCTGAAGGGAGACCATCGAGTGACCCATCTACTTAGGGCCACCCAATGGTTATTATTGCTGAATAGGGGCTCGGTCAGGCGCCACAGCCCTTTAAGAGCATGACCAGGCCCCTATAGTGTCAGCGCCCGGGAGAGAGAAGGAGGTGAAGAGCATCGGCGGGGCACATAGGCAGTCAGTCACAAGGGCCGTGCCGGGTTGATTTGCCTTCCCCTCTGAACAGATTTTGCTAGAAGAAAGTGATATCACATCCTGTCACTTCCTTCTAGCACTGCATGGAAGCCACACAGGAGGGAGCCCAGCAGTGAAGGGTAGCAGCAGGCCTTTCTATATAATATATACCACATAAATATATATTTATTTTTCTAATATAAAATATGGGTCCTTTCAGAGTAAAACATTTAAGTATACAGTAAGCATACTCAGACACACACAAGCTCATTGATACACAGCCTCATAGACAAACAATCTCACAGATATACATAAGCTCATTGACATAAAAACACAAGCTCACAGATGCACACACATAGGCTCACTGACACACACAGACAAGCTTATTGGAATACACACAAAAGTGGTACAGACAAACTGACATGCACAAGCTTTCTACAGACAAGCTCACTGTCACCCACACACAGGGCCGGCCTTAGGCAATTAGGCGCCCTGTGCAAAAAGTCTTCACGGCGCCCCCCCCACCTCCCACCAAGTTGCCTGAATACAGTAACACACACAGGCACCGGGGACGTGTGTATCACGAGGCAAACAAGGCATCTGCCTTGGGCGCCACTTTGCAGGGGGCGGCAAAAAAAAGCATCCCTCCAAACCCCCAGGCAGATCCCTTGCTTGCCTCGCATCCTGGGGGGCTCAAGAGCTGACCGGCTGGCCACTTTTGAGCCCCCCCAAGGCTGGCAGCGGGCAGCGAAGGAGCATACTCACCTGAGCTCTTCCTGCTCAGCTTCCTCTGCGCCGCTTAATGAAGCCGGGAGCCAGAATATGACGTCAGTCCGGCTCCCGGCATCACTAAGTGCTGCTTACTCAGCCTGTGCGCCCCCTGCCTGCCTGCCCAGCAGCCACACTGGACTGCTGGTAAGAAATCCACTCCAGCTTTCCCAGGGAGGCTGGGTGGATTTAAAATAAATGTAAAAAATATTAGTTTGTGAGTGTTAGTGGAAATGTCTGTGTGTGTGTCTGTGAGTGTTTATTTTGAAGTGAATGTGTGTGTGTGTGTGTGTGTGTGTGTGTGTGTCTGTAAGTGTGTAATTGTGTGTGTCTGTAAGTGAATGTGTGTGTTGGTCAGTGAGTGTATATGTGTCAGTCAGTGAGTGTATATGTGTCAGTCAGTGAGTGTGTATGTGTCAGTCAGTGAGTGTGTATGTGTCGTCAGTGAGTGTGTATGTGTCAGTCAGTGAGTGTGTATGTGTCGTCAGTGAGTGTGTATGTGTCAGTCAGTGAGTGTGTATGTGTCGTCAGTGAGTGTGTATGTGTCGTCAGTGAGTGTGTGTCGGTCAGTGAGTGTGTAGGTCAGTGAGTGTGTATGTGTCGGTCAGTGAGTGTGTGTCGGTCAGTGAGTGTGTGTCAGTCAGTGTGTATGTGTCGGTCAGTGGAGTCGTGCATCTTTCAGTGAGTGCTTGCGTCTGTCAGTGAGAGTGTGCATCTGTCAGTGTGTGTCCAAGTAATAGTGTATGTGTGTATGTCATTGTTTGTCAGTGTATATGAGAGTGTGTGTCTGTCAGTGAGTGTGCGTCTGTCAGTGAGTGAGCGTCTGTCAGTCAAAGTGCGGCCTTGACAGGAAGGGGTGGGGAAATTTAAACTCGGTTACAGGCATGTACACACACACTCAGTTAAAGGCAGTCACACATACAGGCACAGGCACAAACAATGGCACAGCTACAGCGACACACACAGACAGACAGTCACATAGGCAGTCACACACACAGACAGACACACAGTAACACACAGACATAACACACACATAGACAGTTATACACACACAGGCAGGCAGTCACACAGATAGAAAGTCACACACACAGGCAGGCAGTCACACACAGACAGATAGTTACAGACAGACACACACAGGCAGGCAGGCAGTCACATACAGGCAGTCACACACACAGGCAGTCACACAGGCAGTCACACACACAGGCAGTCACACACACAGACAGACAGTCACACACACAGACAGTCACACAGACAGACAGTCTCACACACACAGGCAGTCACACACACGGGCAGTCACACAGACAGACAGTCACACAGACAGACAGTCACACAGACAGACAGTCACACACACAGGCAGTCACATACATGGGCAGTCACATACATGGGCAGTCACACAGACAGACAGTCACACACACAGACAGTCACACACAGGCAGGCAGTCACACACAGAGACAGTCACACACACACACAGAGACAGACAGTCACACACACACACACACACAAGGACAGGCAGTCACACAGACAGTCACACACACACAGGCAGGCAGTCACACAGACAGTCACACACAAACAGGCAAACAGTCACACAAACAGGCAAACAGTCACACAAACAGGCAAACAGTCACACACACACACTTACCTCTTTCCAGTGGATGCAGTTGGCTGATGGGGAAGCATCTTTCCCTCTTCCTGTACAGCAGGGGCTTCGGGAGGTATTAGCCCCGTCTCCGCCTCTCGATAAGCCCCGCCTCCGCCGCTCGGTAAACCCCGCCCCCTCTGCCACGATTTTTTACCTCTTTTAGCTCCCCTGCACTCCGGCCATGAGTGAGCTGTGTCGGCCACAGGGCGCCCCCTGTTCCATGGCGCCCTGTGCGGTCGCACAGCTGGCACACCCATAAGGCCGGCCCTGCCCACACACACGCTCACTACAGAAAAGCTCACTGGCACACACATGCTTCCTATAGACAAGCTCACTGACACAGACAAGATCACTACAGACATGCTCACTGTCACACAAATGCTCACTACAGACAAGTTCACTGACACACACATGTTCCATAGA